GCCTAGTTTGGCCCACCCAGCTGTACCTCCCAAGGGCTTGAATACGAGCATGCTCAGTTTGGGGTCTTCATAGGGGTCTCATGGTTGCCTGCTTTCTTTCCAACCTCCTCTATGGGGGTCTTTGCAGGCATGGGAGGGACAACCTCCCATCCCCAAGCTAGCTACCCAACAGATACAGCCCTGACACCACCATTCCTGATTTAAACCATGGGCATTCCCTGGTTCTGTGCAAACGACTGCCCCTTGGTCCGTGTCCAGGTGCCACAGGAGCACAATGACATTCTCTGGCTCCCATCCTTCTCGAGGGCCACCAGGGTTGGTTATGGTCCACACGGTCGGATGTCTGTGCATAGTCCGTAGGGGAGGGCAAAGCCGTCCACCTGGCTGGTCAGCGATCACGGAGAACCCAGTGGATGTTGAACCTCTGTGAGCCTCAGACATGGGTGAAGGCTTCTGACTGCAAAACCACAGCTTTCCACAGCCCAAGGCTCAAGTTCAGGGCACCAGCACGCCTGGTGACGCATCAGCATGACAAAGAAACCCGTTTCCACAAGGATCCCATCCCTGGGACACTGTGCCCACCCCCTCGGTGCTGTGGGCCACTGTGGGGTCTTTTTGGTGTGTGTTTGAAGCTGGGAGGGCTGGGGTCCTGGGGTGAGGAGAGGAGAGTCCCGCTGGTCAGTGTGTGTGGGGGGTGGGCCTGGAGCCTGAGTGAGGACATGGGAGATAGCCATGGGGGGAGGGGCAGCTGTCACTCTTCATTGCAGGAGTTTGGCCACGCCCCATCTGGGCCAGTTTATTTTTTTTAATTGTTTTATTAGGGGCTCATACAACTCTTATCACAATCCATACACACATCAATTGTGTCAAGCACATTTGTACATTCATTGCCCTCATCATTCTCAAAACATCTGGTCTCTACCTAAGCCGCTGGCATCAGCTCCTCATTTTTCTCCCTCCCTCCCCACTCCCCCCTTCCTCATGACCCCTAGATAATTTATAAATTATTATTTTGTCATATCTTGCCCTGTCCAATGTCTCCCTTCACCCACTTTTCTGTTGTCTGTCTCCCAGGGAGGAGGTTATATGTAGATCCTTGTAAGCGGTTCCCCCTTTCCAACCCACCTTCCCTCCACCCTTCTGGTTTCGCGGCTCACACCACTGGTCCTGAAAGGATCATCCGCCCTGGATTCCCTGTGTTTCCAGTTCCTATCTGTACCAGTGTACATCCTCTGGTCTAGCCAGATTTGTAAGGTAGAATTGGGATCATGATAGTGGAGGGGGAGGAAGCATTTACGAACTACAGGAAAATTGTATGTTTCATCGTTGCTACATCGCACCCTGACTGGTTCATCTCCTCCCCACGACCCTTCTATAAGGGGATGTCCAGTGCTGGGCCAGATTCTAAGTCCTCATCTACCCAGTGAGAAGAAGGATGTGGGGAGGAAGGGTCTGTCTAGCTCTCCTGGGTGGCCAGGTGCTCGTTCATTGGTCCTATGCCTTGGTCCAGGTCTCCTCTTGGCACAGGGCCAGGCAGCCTCTCCTTGTGTTAGACATGAGCTCACTAGGAATAAGCACGCAGAACCACCTGGGACCCATTTCCCAATGACCAAGCTTGTGGCTACAACCCCCACCCCCCACCCCACCCCAGATGCCATGAGGGTCCAGTCAGAGCCTGTGTGCCATGTGGGGTACATGATCTGAGTGCCCAGCCCACCACAGTGAGCACAGCCCCAGGCCGTGTGGCCCAGCAGCCCCCCTCACTGTCCTGTGTCCCCAGGTCGGGGCCATTGGCGACGAGGAGGAGTGGGTCAGCCTGTACGAGGAAGAGAATGAGCCTGACGCCCAGACGCTGGAGATCCCGAACCTCACGCCCTACACTCACTACAGGTGAGCCTCCCCAACCACCAGGAGGTTCCGGGCCCTATAACACACCCATCACTGGCATGCCAGTGAGCTGCCTTCCAGGTAAGGATTGCAGTCACCCAAGCCTGCAGCAGCAGGTTGGGCAGACACGCAGGCAGTTAGTTGGGGGCAATCCCAGGCAGAGCGTGCCCCGACATCAGATGAGTAGCACCCATACCATCAGCATCAGCTATCAACGCACTTGCTCCCAGTGTCCCCCTCCCTGGTGCAGATGAAGCTTGGCCACCAGGAATCCAGGGAGCTGGGCATGGTGGGGGGGTCTGTCACAAAAGCCCCTGACTGCTATGGCTCTCTGCCAATCAGGTGGGCCATGTTGGACCTCTCTGCTTTCCCCTGGGGTCTCAGGGGCTGCTAGCCTGGCCAGTCATCCATCAGGAGGCCCGGAGTGCCGAACATGCCTTCTAAGCTTCTTCTTCGCCAGCCTGAGGCTTCTCTGCTAATGTATCCTTGGCCTGGCCCCAGCGGTGCCACACTCTGGAACCCTTCTCTCCCTGCCACCGAGTCGATGCCGACTCACAGGGACCCTAGAGGGCAGACTAGACCTGCCCCAGTGAGTTTCCAAGACTGTAATTCTTTACAGGAGTAGAAAGCCTTGTCTTGTTCCCATGAAGCAGCTGATGGTTTCAAACCACTGACCTTGCAGTGAGCAGCCCAGTATGTAGCCCACTGCTCCACCCGGGCTCCTCAAACCGAACTCACTGCCGTTGAGTCCATTCTGACTCACAGCCACCTGTGGGACAGGGAGACACTGCCCCTGTGGGTTCCCGGGACTCTTCACAGGAGTAGAAAGCCTCATTGCCCTCCCTTAAGGCAGCTGGTGGGTTCAAACTGCTGACCTAGTGGTTAGCAGCCCAGCGTGGAAGCACTGTGCCGCCAGGGCTCTGATGAGACCTGACAAGAAGCTTTAAAGAGCCGCCTCATGCCACCCTCGTTGGGCAGACGAGGCATCTGCGAGGTCTGATGGGCCCTGGAGGTGGCAGGGGCCGGGGATGAGCTTGGGTTATTAAAAACAAACGTGACTTTCAAAGCCGTCGTCTGCCAGACAGCGTGCTCCTGTCGTGCCACAGGAGCGCCACCTCCTTTGGGTTGCAGGACATTTCCCGCTCCTCCAAGGTTGTTGCAGGAGCCCTGGTAGCATAGTGGTTACACACTGGGCTACCGACTGCAGAGTCGGCGGTTCAAACCCACCAGCTCCTCCACGGCTCACAGGAGGGTCACTATGAGTGGCAATTGACCCAGTGGTGGTGTTTTTAGGGGCAGGAACCATGGACGTAATTTGTATGGAAAGAAGCCAGGGACTGGATGACTCAGCTGGACAGGCACTTGGGCCTCTTCTGTTCTGTTCTGGCCTTGAGGTTGGCTTGGGAATAATCCTCCCCCGCCCCCCCATTTTTACACCAGATTCCGGATGCAGCAAGTGAACGTGGTGGGCCCGAGCCCATTCAGCCAGTCGTCCAGGGTCATCCAGACGCTGCAGGCCCCGCCGGACGTGGCGCCGGCCAGCCTCACCGTCCGCACAGCGAGCGAGACCAGCCTGTGGCTGCGCTGGGTGGTGAGTCGTGCGGCCAGGACCGGCGTGGGGAGCTCAGGGTGCAGGGTGAATCCAGAGTAGAGCAGCCTCTCTGCGTCCCCTCTCTCTGAGGCCAAGTGCATCCCTTCGTGAAACGGCAAAGTGTCCCACTGCACAGCTGGCATGAGAGCATGCCTGGCCCGGCCTTCGCATTCCTAAGTTACGTCACGGGCTCTCTCACTGGACCCAGGATGAGACCGCGAACCACTGCCGTTGTGGCGATTTCCAGCTCCTGTGAGGCAGAGTCGAACGGCCCCGGGGGCTTCTGAGGCTGTAACGCCTTCAATATCTCGGCTCATGGCCCTCAAGGGGATTCTGTCCCTGCAGGACAGGGTCGAACTGTCCTGTGACCCTTTACGGGAGCACAAGGGTCATTTTCTTCCTCGGAGCAGCTGGTGGTTGTGAACTGCCAACCTTGCAGTTAGCAGCCTAGCGTGCAACCCCTACACCACCAGGGCCCCTTGAATCCACGCTCCAAACCAAAATTGAACCCACTGCCGTCAAGTCCATTACCACCGACAGTGACCCTGTCGATTAGCATGGAAGCACCCTTGGGGGCTCCTGAGTCTGACAGTGTCAATGGAAGCAGAAAGCCTCATCGTTCTCCCTCCGAGCGGCTGGGATTTCAAACTGCTGCCCTTGTGCGTAGCAGCCCAGATCCTAACCCATGATGCCACCAGGTTTCAAAGTCAGCCACGGTGCATTCAAGGGCATCACAGTTGGCTACAGGCATGGGCAGGGAGGGGTCCCAGGGAGAGGACAAGTAGAAAATCATGCCTGGGGAGTGACCCACCGGGGGCCGTCCGGTGACCCTGTCTGCTCACCTTTGCCTGTTGTTCCCTGCAGCCCCTGCCGGACTCCCAGTACAATGGGAACCCTGAGTCAGTGGGCTACAGGGTCAAGTACTGGCGCCCGGACCTCCCGGCGCAGGCGCTGGCCCAAACCATTCACGACCGGCTGGAGCGGGAGTTCACAGTGGAGGGCCTGGAGGAGTGGACGGAGTACGACGTGCAGGTGCAGGTCTTCAACGCCATCGGTGCCGGGCCCTGGAGCGAGGTGGTACGGGGCCGCACTAGGGAGTCAGGTGAGAGCAGGGCTGCCAGGTGGCAGCTGCCGGCCGTGGCCCCTCCCAGGCTCCCCAGAGAAGTGGCCTCAGTTCCCTGACCCCTGCTGCACCAAGGGCAGACGTCCCAGGGGCTGTCCCGCCTGGGTCTGCCTTGCACTTGGTCTTCCCTGTTCGCTGCTAGGGGCTCCTCCTGGATTCAGTGACACCCCTCGCCTCCAGCACGATGGAGCAAGGCACTGCCCGGTCCTGTGCCGTCTCGTGATAACTCACTAGTGGGACTCCTGTGTCCCACAGGGTTTCCATTGCCTGCCTGTGGGTGTAGATCTCCAGGCCTTTCTTCCTACCCACGGCCACCACTCACTGCCATGGAGTGGACCCTGTGGGACAGAGTAGAACTGTTCCCTCGGGTTCTCCAAAACTAGATCTTTACAGAAGCAGACAGGCTCCTCATTCTCCCGAGGAGCGGAGGATGGGTTTGAACCGCCAACTCAGAGAGAGCAGCCCAATACTTAACCCAGTGGGCCACCGGGGCTCCCATGCCTTCCTCCCTGCTCTCAGGCCCCTACCATTGGGTCGATTCTGACTCACGGGGACCGTCTAGCACAGGGTAGACCTGCCCCTATACTTCCCAAGACTGTCATTCTTCACGGGAGCAGGCGAATATTCTGCTCTTTCTCCCAAGGGCTGTGGTGACCTGTCTGCTCCCTTATCAGGGCCCTGAGGGTTAGGACCCTCCCCAGGGCTGTAAGAACAGGGGTGACGGTGCTAAGGGACCCCACAGACCTGAGGGGACGTGAGCAGGTCTGCCGGAGCCAGAAGCAGCAGAGAGTCCTGCTGACCCTCACAGGCTGTGAACCTTCCTGGCCCTTCCCAGGCTCTCCGGAGACCGCTACGCCTAGGGCAGATACCCCAGCGCCGGGTCCCCCTGGATCCACCCTGGCACATGGCCTTCCTTGTTCACTGCTGGAGGTGACTGTTAGTCTACTTTCTCAGAGCTGGGGCCAGAGGGTCCCAGACCCTCCTGGAGTTTCCCTTCCTCTGATCTATCTTACCCAGTGCCCACTGGGGGTCGAGGTGGTGTGGACAGTGGTTCAACCCTACCAGCTGCTCCAAGGGAGGAAGATGAGGCTGTCTGCTCCCACAAAGATACATAGCCATGCAACCCCCAGGGGCAGTTCTGCTCTGTCCTGGAGGGCTGCCATGAGCTGGAATCGATGGCCGGAAGGTTTTTTGTCCGTCTGTCTGTTGTTACTTCACCAAGCATGTCCTTCTCCAGATGTCAGGTCCAGGGGGTGGGAGACTGTCTCCCCATCATTGCTTCTAAGAAGCACTGGCCATGCTCCTCTGAGGCAGGAGCACTGTCCTCCCAGCATTCCACGGGCTGCTCGGTCAAATGGAAATGGGTTGCTTTGGAGAGTGGTTCTGTGGAATATGGCCAATTAAGGGGTACGCCCAGAGAGCCCTGTGAGCCTGTAAGGAAAGAGCAAGGCCATGGCCACCATGACAACTTACAAGCTCTGAATCAGACAGATCCTCACAGGAGGTCTTCCCTGAGAAGCCAAGGCTGGCCCTGGGCTACAGATAGTCTGTTAGAAATGAGGGGTCAAGACATAGGCATCTCACCTCCTGACGGCGTGATTTTCCCATGGATGGTTACCCAGCTCTGCTGCCGGCGGTCTTGGATCTGTGTGGCCCTGGAGGGACGGGACCAAGGCGTGATAGGGAACAGCCGCAGGAAGAGGCAGACTGAAAACACAGAGCAGAGCCGAGGATGATGGGTAAAAGATACCGGTTAGAAACCGCGGGCTGTAGACAGGGCCGTGGAGGGAAAGGGGAACCCCGGCCATCCGAGGCATCCGAGAAGCCGAGGGGCAGAGAGGCAGGTGCTGAGCCGCCCTGGGTGGGGTGGGGTTGGAGGGCCCAGCCTGGTGGATTCCAGAAGTGGGATTTGAGCACATGTAGGAGTTTTTTTTTTTTTTTTTTGGGGGGGGTGTCCTCAAGTGTATACAGGATGGGGAGTCAGAATGCTTGGAGACAAGGCTGAGGAAGGCTGTGCTGGTGTTCACTGCCACCCATTCAGTACCGACTCTTGGCCACCCCCTGTGTGCAGAGAACGGCCTGAGTTTTCACGGCTGATACCATTCGGAAGCAGATCATCAGGCCAGCCTTCCAGGAAGCCTCTAGGTGGATTTGAACCCCACCTGTCAGCAGGTGGTTGAGCACTTGCTCTCTTGGTGAGACCAGGGTTGGCCTCGGAGGCTGTGCCCTCTTTGAAAGGGTCGACTAGGAGCCTCTGGCCACCAGCCGTAAGAGGGTAGACTAGGAGTACTTATCCATCAGCTGTGAGAGGGTTGATCATATCAGCCAGCGGTGAAAGGGTTGATTGGAAGTATCTGCCCATCGGCTCTGAGAAGGTAGACTAGAAGTATCTGCCCATTAGCTCTGAGAAGGTAGACTAGAAGTATTTGTCCATTGGCTCTGAGAAGGTAGACTAGAAGTATCTGCTCATTGGCTCTGAGAAGGTAGACTAGAAGTATCTGCCCACTAGCTCTGAGAAGGTAGACTAGAAGTACTTGCCCATCGCCTCTGAGAAGTTAGAGTATGTCAACCAGTGGAGGGAGGAGACACTGGAAGTATCTACCTACTAGCTCTGAGGGGGTAGACTCGAGGTGTCTGCTCGCTGGCTCCGAGGGGTCAGGGCATCAGCTCTGAGGACAGAGACTAGAAGAATCTGCCCACCCACTCAGGGAGAGAAAGGAAGCGTGGCTGGGTCTATTTGAGATCTCGCTATAAAATAAAAAAGGAGTTTCTTATCTTCCGCCTAGCTCCGGCTCCGTTCTGAATTTATCCTGTGAAATGGTGCAGAGTCTCCCAAATGAGAAATTAATGTAAAAGATGGTTCCAGTTGCCCAAAGCACAAGTGACAAAAGGAAAATATAGCGAAATCAGGCCTCAGGGGAATTACCAATGTTTGTGCTCCAGAGGACACCATCAAGAGTCTGAAGACAGCGTCCGGACCGGGAGGGAACGTTTTCAAATTGTTTGTCTGGGAAGGGGCATGTGTGTGCAACACACAGGGAACTCTCACAGCCACACAACCAAGGGAGAAGCGGCCGATTGAAAAAGAGACAAAAGACTTGACCGGGCATCGCTCCGAAGACGATGCTGAAATGGCCAATGAGGAGATGCTCACTAGCCCTCAGGGAGTCAAACCCGAGCCGGCGCCAGCGCCAGAGCTGTATTCTCACTCAAAGAACGCTGGATCGTATGTGTGTTTGGTTTGGTTTGTTTTCGCAAACCTCTCATGCTCCAGTACCCCAGTATGGTATGAATGCTGGGTGTGAAAAGCTCAGTGGTGGAGAGGATTGAACAATCATAAAGACACATGCACCCAACACCGGGGCACCCGAAGACATGAAGCAAACACTGGCAGGCATCAAGGGAGGAGTAGACAGGGGTGCAAGCACACCGTCTTAGAGAAAGTGCAGCCGGAGTGTTCCTCGGGAGAGACTGGTGAGACTTGGCCTCGGACACTTGGGTGATCCCTCGAGAAGGATGTCCTGCTCTGTGAAGTCGGGAGCCCTCCCGGAAGAGGAACCCGATGAGGTGGGCTCACCCCATGGCCGAAACGATGGGGTCGGACGTGGAAAGGACGGGGAGGGTGGTGCAGGGTTTGTTCCATGGTCAGCAGGGTAACTGCAAGTCAGAACCCACCCCTCGGTGCCTGACCACAACGGTGGTTCAAGACTTTAATCCGCCACTTTCAATACTGCACGGAACATGGAGCACAGACAGCAATGAGGAGACGGAGGACCGAGTGGCATTCTACACCGACCGCAGCCACGGCTCCTGCTCCTGTGCACACGGATCCTTCTCCAGGGGGATGTGCACTTGAGGTCACATAGACCCTAAAAGACTGAAAGCACATGAAGTATTTCCTCTGACCACAGTGGAGTGAACTAGAGATCATCGCAAAAACAAAACTCCTGGAGGATACACAAGCGTACAGGGTTCCTAAAGCAGACATCGAAATTGAGATCACCAATGCTCTTGGGTCAAATGGGAAACACAACCTACCAAAAATGTGCGGGATGCAGGCAAGGCAATGCTCAGAGGGAAATGTGTAGCAATAAACACCTACATGAGACAAAGGGACTTCTCAACCTAACAGCCTAGCACAACAACTCCGGGATCTAGAACGATAAACCGAGGCTAACCCTACCGGAAAAAGAAAGAAAAGAAAAAACAATGATCAGAGCAGAAATATCAATGTAAAAACCTTAGAAGCAGCAGAAAGGACTCAGACCCAGAAGATGGTTCCTTGAGAACATTGACATTGCTGCCAGCACATTGCACACCTGTAAAGAGGAGGAGGGGTAAGAAGAAGATGGTTTCTTTAAAACAAACAAACAAAACAGCTCTGTTTATGAGCAGGGATACGGAGGAATTAGAGGGACCTGTAATGGGGCAACAGCACAGACGAATCTGTCTCGGAAGGACAGCCAGCATTGCTCCTGAGAGGCCGAGAGGCCGAGACTTTACCTCACAGCACTTAGGACCTGTGATCAGGAGAGACCAGTCCCTGGGGAAGGACGTCACGCTTGGCGAAGTCGAGGGGCAGCGAACAAGAGGAAGGCCCCCAGTGAGATGGACGGACAGGTCACTACAGCGCTGGGCTTGAACTTGTGAGGCCGGCGCAGGGCCCAAGGTGCTTTGTTCTGTGTACGCGGGGTTGCTATGGGTCCCAGCAGACGGGCACAGCAACAAGACCACAGGCAATGGGTAAAAGTAAGCCTTGCGTTGGGAATGGCGTGATCCTTCTAAACTTCCCCGTGGTGCACACTAAAACCACGGAAGTGTGGGTGGACTTCACACTGTGTGAACAATGTCGCCGTGTCCTCGTTCAGTAGCTGAGCACTGGGCTGATAATGGAAAGGTTAGTGATTGCCCCCACCCACCCCCAGCCCCCTGCTGCTGAGAGAGCGAGGCGCTGATCCCTATCTGCTTCATTAAGACCACAAGCTGGGGCAGCTGCACTCTGTCCTTCAGGCGCTCATTTTCAGGAATTGCCGGGACAGCAGTGGCCAACAAATCTTCCCCCTGGGCAAATTTCATACAGATAAATGGAGCTTAGGGAAGCATGCTTCTGAGAGTAGATTTCTTCCGTGCGGTAGGAAGGCCTCAAAGATCGTCCTCTCAGCCCACAATAGTTTCTTGCCCCCAGGACAAGCGCTGACCAGCTCTTTCTGAAGGAGTTGAAGCGACAAAGGACAAAAGATAAAAAGAAGAACAACACCCTCGCTCCTCCTGGGCAGCCAACAGAAGCAGCGCTAGCTCACCCCTGCAGGGGGCGGGGGTCAGCTCCGACTCGCAGCGACCCCCGTCTGCAGCAGAATGAAGGACAGCCGGGGCCTGCACCAGCCTCCCATGGCTGTGATGCTGGAGCCCAGGGTGACAGCCGCTGTGTCCGTCCATCTCCCCGAGGGCCCTTCTCCTGCTCGCTGCCCCTCGACTTCACCAAACACGATGCCCTTCTCCAGGGACTGGTCTCTCCTGATCACACGTCCAAGGTCCACATACGTTGGAGAGAGATCAGCCCGGCCAGACTGACCCGTCACAACCGGCCATGATGAGCTCACAGGGGCCAGGCACCGACGGAGCGATCTTCCAAGGCTCAGAATGAGCAGCTTAAAAACCGAAGCGTCCACTCACGTGGGGATCGACTCCAAGGCGGTGGGCTGGGTTGGGGTTGGGAGCACTTTAACCTCGGCGGCACCAGGGCCCCTCCACAGGTTGCTGACCCCTGCCGTCAAGTCGATTCCAGCTCAGAGGGGCCCTGGAGGGTGGCGTTACTACAACCCCAGAGGGTTTACAGGACAGAGTAAGACTCGTGGGCAATTGCAGCCAAGAATGTTCTCCCTAGAAGCCAGGGTGGTGAGACTTCGTCTCACATACTTTGGGCACGTTGTGAGGGGCACCCATCCCGGCGAAGGTCACCATGATCGGCAAAGTGGAGGCAGTGGAGTAGAGGAAGTCCCTCAAGGAGGTGGGCTGACACAGTGGCTGCAACAGTGGGCTCGGACGCCGTCCCGATTGTGAGGGCAGCGTGGACCGGGGGGTGCTTCCACTGCACACGGGGTCACCGTGGGTCGGGGCCAACTCCACCCGAGGGGATGGTCACTCACGAAGGCCACCTGTCTGGACGGACTGCCCCTTCCTCCGGGGAGTGGTTGGAGGCTTCCAACCGTGGCTCTCGGTGGAGCGATTAACCCTCTGCACCACCAGCCCGCTCCCTGCAGCAAACGATAGCCGTATTACCACCTCTTAGAGAAAATCGCCTATTATTTGTAATAGAACCATAGCGAGAATTGGTCACTTAAAGTTTCAAAGATTTACCCGCAGGAAGCAGGTAAGGATTGGAGGAGCCAGCAGGCTGCCTTGCTATGACAATGCCCGTCCCCCCGTCCCCCCCACCCATCCACACATAGGGACAGGGTTTTCAAAATGAACCAGCCACAGGCATCCGGGACAAAGTCTACTCGGTGAGCTCATCGGATTCTATGTAAGGTGGGAAATAGAGCCACACGTTGTGTGTGTATGTGTGCACGGTATCCAACCAGATGGCCCTCAACAACCACACAGGCGTGGGTGAGCACATAGACACTGGGAGGATTCAAAGGCTCACAGAAAAGCGGTGTGCAAAGATAACAGAATTCTCTGCCAGCTCTTTAAACCCCCACCCTGTGAGTGTGAGTGTGTGAGTGAGTGTGAGTGTGTGTGTGTGTGTGTGTGTGTGTGTGTGTCCGTGTCCCCAAATGGGCTGCCGTCAAGTGAATTCCGAATCACAGCAACCCTGTAAGTGGAACTGCCCACCTCCCAAGGAGTGGCCGGTGCTTTCCAGCTGCTGCCCCCACCCTGCCACCAGCTATCCTGTGCTCCCAGGTAGATCCGACTCAGGGCCAGCATTCTCTTCTGAGGAAGCCCAGCCATTGCTTGATTTAAGGCTGGAAGGTGACCCTGGGGCGGTGGTTTCCAGGGTTCAGCCAGTCTGTCGAATTTGTGCAAACTTGAACTTCTGTTCCACACGCTAGCCCCTTTTGATCAGGATTCCTCTTGAGAACCTTTGCGGATGCCTTTTCCTTGAGCCTTAGTTTTCTCATCCTAGAAAGTAGTCATAGGCCGTAGACCCCCCCTCCCACTGGGTTATCACTTCCCCTAACAGAGACCAAACGAAACCCACTATGGACTCCCCTCCCGCCACGCCACCCCACTGCATCAGAGTAGAACGCAGCCCTGTGAGGTCTACTCAGCTGTCACTTTTATGGTGCCAGGTGGCCAGGACTCTCCTCCTCGGCCTCCAGGTTTGTAGCCAAGTGCAAGCCATTTGAGCCCCATCCCCTCCACCCCAGGTACCGAAGCTAAGGACCACCTCCTACTGCACCCCTCCATGCGTGTGACTCCCTACGGCCCCCTCCCAGCCCTACCTCCCCTTTCACCCCAGCACTCTTCCCCCGAGAGACAAGCGAGCAGGCATGTCTCCATGCAAGAATGCAGAGACTGAACCAGGCCTGCTTCCTCCTGGGCTGAGCCACCAATAACCCCGGATTTGAGGCTAATATTAAGGGGATTTGCGTTTCTGCCGGACGCGTGTGGGATTAATCTCAGGAGTGCTCGTAACTCACTGCTGTCTCAGGGGCGGCTCGGTAGCCTGGGGAGGGAGCGGGCTTTTGTGTGCAGAAGCCTGGGACATGGAGAGCCCACCTGACCCCCTCTTGTCCTTCCCAGTGCCGTCTGCTGCTCCCGGGAATGTGTCCGCCGAGGCCGTCAGCTCCACACAGATCCTCCTGACCTGGGCTTCTGTGCCCGAACCGGACCAGAACGGACTCATTTTGGGCTACAAGGTACGTGTGCCTCAGGGGTCCCTCCTGGGATGGGGGGTGGGAGGCAGGCAGCTACTGCAGTGTGCCCCCAACCCAGTGGGTTCACTCTCCGCTACAAAGCACAGTGTGGGCCAAAAACAAAACAACACTCACTGCCCTCAGGTCGACTCCAGTGTGTAAGATTCTCTAGGACAGAGAGAACTGCCCCCATGGGCGCCCACGGCTGTAGCTCTTTACCGGAGTAGAAAGCCTCGTCTTTGTCCTGAAGGAGCAGCTGGTGGTTTTGAACTGCTGACCTCGTGGTCAGCAACCCAACTGCAGCACCGCTAAGCCTTCAGGGCTTTTCTCGGCATGGGCCAGTCTCCTGCTTTTGACACAAGGATTTCATGGAATCCCCCTGGCTGCTGCGGGCGCTATCAGAGACCACGGAGACAGCTCAGACTGACAAGGACCCTTGTATGGTTCCGCGCCATCTTCACCTGAGCCCACCCTTGGGGCCACTGTATCCGTCCATCTCATCGAGCGTCTTCCTCGTGTTTCACTGCCCCTCCACGTGGCCAAACAGATGTCCTTCTCCAGGGCCTGACCTCTCATAGCCACATGTCCAAAGGGTGCGGTCTCACCACTCTGGTCACACTGCTTAGACAGATGAGTCTGTCTGGCAGTGCATGCACCATCATTGAAACGTCTTAATTCTTCCTCGGCTTTCCGTACTCAATGTTCAGCTCTTCCCTGCTGGTGAG